AGTGTTTAAAATGCGAGTTCTTGTCACTTAGACTTACTTCCTGAAGTATTTAAAGATCAAATGGCATAGCAATGGAGATTTGCTTTATAATCATCTTATGTGATAAGGAAGTAGGGGAAGGGCACATATAAATAAGAATAACCATGAGTTGATAATTTTTTAAGCTGTGTGATTGCATACATGTGAATTCATTCTTTCTACTTTTATATGTTTCTATTTCTCCCTCTCCCTTCCTCTCTCTGAAATCAATAAAAACATTAAAAAAAAAAAGGTATTGCCCCTCATTATACTTATAAAGACAGAAACAAATATTTTTCTATTTGTTCATTTAAAACTCTATCATTTATTAAGAAATTATTGCTAATTATTTTTAAGTGTGATAACAGTAGTGTTTATTTTTATTTACTTGATTTTTTAAAAAAATCCTCACTCCAGGACATGTTTTTCATTGATTTTAGAGAGAGGGGTAGGGGGGGCAGGAAGAGAGAGAGAGAGATAAAGAGACTGAGAGACAGAGAAAGAAACATGACTGGTTGCCTCCTGCATGCCTCCAGATGGGCATGGGGCTGGAACCACAACCTAGGTACGTGCCCTGACTGGAATCAAACCGGCCACCTTTTGGCGCATGGGAAGAGGCTTCAACCAACTGAGCCACCCAGGCCCGGGCAGCAGTGTTTAAAATGCGAGTTCTTATCACTTAGACTTACTTCCTGAAGTATTTAAAGATCAAATGGCATAGCAATGGAGATTTGCTTTATAATCATCTTATGTGATAGGGAAGTAGGGGAATGGCACATATAAATAAGAACAACCATGAGTTGATAATTTTTTAAGCTGTGTGATTGCATACATGTGAATTCATTATTTCTACTTTTATATATGTTTAAAATTTCGATATAATATTAAGTTCTCAAATTTGTTGTTTTTCTTTTTGTTCCGCTGGGGGACAGTTTGGGTGGGTAGAAAAAGATCAGAATTTGGATGGAGGCGAAGAAACTAGGACCAGTGGTAGCTAAGTGGGTGAAACGCCCTCTGCTGGCAAAATTTGGTCATTACAGAAAAGTATATGTTCCCATCGAAAAACCTGAATTAGAATTTACTTTGCTATCTATACAATTGTTCACTGATATCTCTTTGAATGTCTTATATATACAATTTATAAAAAAATCCTAGCTGTGGTCTAACAGACGAAGACATGGTAAAGAATCTGTGAAATATGTGGGATGTGTGTGTGTATGGAATTTTTTTTTAAAGATCCACAAGAAATAAGATGATGATTACTTCCGAGAAGTAAAAGCAGTACACCCTTTGTATCTGAACTTTCTTTACCATGTGTATTTGTTCTTTCCTAATGAGAAGTTAAAAAAAAAAAAAAAGGAACTTAAAACAAATGGGTTTTGTTTGAAATTTTTTGGAAGGTGAACTCTCCATTGATACTTTCATTCTTTCTCGAGAAAAGGAAGTCACAAGAGAAAAGGAAGAAAACATAGAAGTCACTTTTAAAATCAGTGTCCTAGCCCTGGCTAGTCTGGCTCAGTGGTCAGAGCGTTGGCCCCCTCACTGAAGGGTGGGCAGGGTTACTGGGCCCCATGTTCCCTCAGGTGAGTTCGGGAGGTATCCTACCCATCTCTCATGTTGATGTTTCTCTCTCTCTGCCCCCACCTCACTCCCTTCCACTCTCTCTGAAAATCAATGAAAAAAAAAAATCCCCAGGTGAGGATTAAAAAAAAAAAAATCTGCCTGGCCGGCGTGGCTCAGTGGTTGAGCGTCGACCTAGGATCCAGGAGATTGTGGTTCAATTACCAGTCAGGGCACATGCCTGGTTGTGGGCTCTATCCCCTGTCTGGGGCGTGCAGGGGGCAGCGGATCAATGACTCTCTTATCATTGATGTTTCTCTCTCTCTTCCTCTTTGAAATCAATAAAAACACATTTTTTTTAAAAAAAAGCTGTGTTCCAAATTTGTACAATTTCTACCAGACAACAGAAGGAAAATTACTAAATGGATAAAAATGTCATCATTTTCAACAATAAAATTCCTTTAGAATTATTAAGATAACTATAATACCTTGCTACCAATTCTGGAAATTCCTTTGTAATTTGCTTTACTATATAAACAATAAACCATTCATCCTCAATGTTATCTCCAAACTTTGTCATACCAAATATATGAGCAGGAACACCTCCTAAAAACAAGAGAAAAGCAATCATATAACCAAATTAATTTGCCAGTGCAAATAAACATACAAAGAATCATTCAATTAAACAAACATTCATTGACTATGCTCTGGGTACTATACTAGGAGCTGGGGTTGCAATATTGAACAAGATACAAGAAGCCTACTCTTGAGGAGCTGAGGGTCCAGACAAGAGATAGACAACCAAGTCATCTCAAAACAAGATGATAAACAGAGGTATGCACTGAGGACTATGTGAACATAAAGGATGTTATATCTGAGCTATGCTCATCTGGAGGAATGACCAGAAGTAGACTTTCCAGAAAGACAGAAAAGTATGTGCAAAGGCACAAATGCTCTGCAAATATTAGGTAGCTAGATTTGGATGGAGCAGAATTTTCAAACAAGTACATTATCCAATTATATGTAGAAATTAAATAACATACTCTTAAACAACCAATGGGTCAAAGAAGAAATCACAAGGGAAATTAGAAAATATCTTGAGACAAATAAAAACAAAAACACAACATACCAAAACTTATGAGATGCAGTGAAAGCAGTGCTAAAAGAGAAGTTTATAGTTATAAAAGATCTCAACAACCTAACCTTACACCTTAAGGAACTAGAAAAAGAACAAACTAAATCCAAAGCTAGCAGAAGGAAGGAAATAATGAAGATTAGAGCAGACATCAATGAAATAGAGAACAAAAGTACAATAGAAAAAAATCAACATAAACTGAGTTGGTTTGTTGAAAAGATCAACAAAACTGACAAAACATTAGTTAGATTAACTAAGATAAAAGAGAGAAGACTCAGAAATGAAAGGGGATATTATAACCTATTCCATGGAACTATAAAGGAATATAAAGTAATTCTACCCACCTACCTACCCCATAACACTATGAACAATTGTATACCAACAAATTGGATAACCTAGAAGAAATGGGTAAATTCCTAGAAACACACAATCTATCCAGACTGGGTCAAGAAACAGAAAATCTGAACAGACTTATAACTCATAAGGAAATTGAATCAGTAATCAAAACTTCCCCACCAATTAAGAGCCTGGTCTCACAAGATGCCACCCTCCTGATCCGAAACAAGACCTCACATAAGTCATTGCATAAGTGGAGCCTGGTCACCTATCCATGATTCACTTTAATAAAGCTAAAGAAATCATAGGACAAAGTGTCATACTTGGCCAGAGGTCAGATCTCAACAACCAACAACACAGGGAAGACAATGAAAAAATCTCAAAATGCTTCTGAGTGGCAAACAATGGCCATAAAGCCCAATTATTTCTCTTTATAAGCCAGGCAGAGCCACTCTTAGATCGCTACCAAAACAACCATGCAAAACAAGGTAGCCTACTAAACACATCAATAGTGAGAAATACAGAGTAACAGCTAAAGATGCCTGAATCTGTTTAGTATAGGTACCCAGATATATTATAGCACAGAAAAGTAAGGTTTAAAAGAATAGCCCCAAGTTTAATAATGTTGATATACCTTAGTTTCTAAGGTAATGACTATTAGAAACTTTTCATCAATATGAATGAAAAAAAATTTTAAGGGCTTAACTGATTATAGGCAAGCATCACTAATCTAAATCTGACAACACTGAATAAACTATGGGCTATTATACATCACTGTTATCAGAATAACCTTAAAAGCCACACATATCAAATCAAAATAAATGAAGGAGCCTTCCTTACCTTTCCCAGGTTTATATTTGAGATTGAAAGGCTGATTCTGCCAGATATAAGGGACCAGCATAGGTGCAAATTGGGTCATTATTCTCTCAATATACTTCTGAAGAATCTCCTTGTGTTTTTCTGGGTCCCTTGGTTCATCTGGTATCAGGAACAGGCGGTACTCCACAGTATCTTCCACTGTAGCAAGCTTCATATTTTCCTCCATTCTTCTTTGAAAACTACATTTAAAGTTTCAATAATATAAACCATATAGAACAACGCAGAAGTAATATCCCATTCCCTGAACTATTCTAGGTGATTCCATTAACACTGTTTTCAAAATTCAGTTATCCACATACCATCATGATTTTTGCCTTGACCATTTACCAAATATAGTAACGCTTATTTAATGTTCTTTTAATGACAGTTTTGTACTCAAATTATGTTCTTTATACTTAAAATTATGTTAAAAAAACTTGTGCTACAATGAATGGAAATCCAAAGCACCAAATATAGTAATGCTTATTTAATGTTCTTTTAATGACAGTTTTGTACTCAAATTATGTTCTTTATACTTAAAATTATGTTAAAAAAACTTGTGCTACAATGAATGGAAATCCAAAGCACATTCTCAAATTAAGTAATAATTATGTAAGAATAAAATAAAAAATATTTTCCCTTATACATGTCGTGGCGTAACACACGTTGAGAACACTGACTAACAACTTCCGTTTAAATACTATCCAAAGTCCCAGCTCTGCCACTAAATTAATTGTGTCATTTTGGGCACTGTACTATCTCTTTCTGTTTGTTTTTTTTTGCTTTCTTTAATTGTAGAATACGAGTGTTGCTCTACCATCTCTAGAATCCTTCCTTCCCCGATTTAAATTTTTATTATTTAAATCCTCTTAAAAGCAACCTGTCTGACTCTACAGAATTTTAATCTCTTTTATAAACATTGTATGACACAGGGGAATTAAAAACTACAAAACATTCACGTCTCATCCCAAAACAATCTGCCCATGGTTCTTGATCCTACAACTACCTGTCCAAAATTTGCCCCTTTCTCAGGTCTCAGGGGGGCACAGCTCTGATATACTAGGAGGCGGCGGATACCTCTTTATTTTCTAAGGGTTTCCCTAACAAACAAAAGTACTAGTTTATTATTGCTGCCAGGTGATGCGCTGTAAACAATGGCACGGCGTGGACGGCCCACGTGGTCCGACTTTTCCATGCACTCGGCTTTCTACCGGGCGAACAAGGTGAGGTGGAGAGGCACCTGCATCTTTACCCAGACACCATTCATCGGTCCGTCCAAGTCCCCTTCAACCCAGAGGGGCGGACAGTAACTCT